GTGGCTAGCCCTATATATTGATGGTGATAAATTTTTGCACGTAATCTACTTCAGACGATTCATTAATGTAACTTTTGCATTAATATTTAAAACGTGCATTCCCCTCAACAGTAGTAAATGCTTAGTTTAGTCGTCTACCCAATTTCGACTTATGCTTACCTCAACTCGAGAGCAATGTGCCAGTCTTGCAGTCATGAGACCTTCTAGACGTAACAACCTCATAACTAGACTACCTCCATAGACAGGACGCCGATAAATGCCTATTCCAATCATTTTGGTGACAAAAAAGAGGAACTGTTTGGCTTTCTTTGTTCTGGTACATTGGCGAGGCACGAGGCATGTGATTGTGCACTTGTGATTAACGAATAACGCTCTCACAAATCATTCCACCTCCATTTCACAGACCATAATCAGCTAGCATGTAGTCAGCATAATTGGGTGATTTTTTGTCGCCTAACCGGCACTCCTCTCAGCATAACGCTCTTATTGAAAGTATAAAAACCTCGGGGTGAATTTGCATGGGTAGATTTTATTATTGCCTGTGAAGCTACTACATGGTGATAAAACCCTGACCACATTTACGTCATTTGAAAGCAAGCAGTTGTGGGTAATTGGAAATCCTGTAGAAATATTATGCTCACAGCTCATTAGCATAGAAACGTTTTCCTCCTTTGCGTCTTTTTTTCATGTCGTGTGTGCTCGTCTAGATTGCCCCCAATTGTTTTGATTCAGAAGTTAAACCTGCCCTTGTTTACATAGCAGAAGCGCATGCGATGTGAAAGAGCAAAGGGACCTCAGACACCCATATGACCTAGAACTTACGTCAGCGGCTATTAAAGTACTTGCTTAGGTGTCGCCGAGTTTCATTTGTGCAGCAAATACTCGCACTTCTTAAAAGTTTAGGCTGTAATGTCTGCAACCAATGCAATCTACTGAAGAAAGTACACGCATTAGTTACTTGAGGTGTGACTAAAACGAATGTGTCAGGTGGGAAAGAATTTTCGATACAAGTAGCTTCGCCACACCTTAATTGGCATGGATTTTTTCTCATGGCAACTTGACAGCAAGATGTCACGCTAAATATCTGCTAATGCAACCAGTGGCGCTTGACTATGTCATGTAAATTTGTACGTGCCTGTTGATCGTCAGTTGTTTAAATCATCTGTTTGACACAGACCTGATAATTCCTTTTTAGTTAAAGGAATGATTTTGTTATTTGGTGTTAATGCTATGCCAGCAGCACCTCTCCCGAGTTACGGCGTAGTGCACAACCCATCTGTGATTTAAAAATTTTCATCGAAAACACAATTCGTCAGGTGTGATAACAAAGGATTCACGAAAAGTCAGCAGAGCGTGCAAGTTCAGAACGCGGGGATTAGAATTATTATATGTTCAAAGGGAGACACGCTTTGCTATGTCCATTCTACTACCACTCCAATTTGTGAAACGATATTTCCGGGATGTGGTGGAATTCTCAAATAAGAGGGTCATTATACCCATAAATGGTTTTTTATTATAATGACCTGATTTAAAGTTCCGAGAATCAGTCTTAAAATTGCAGACATGGTGATTTTAACAAAAATTAATAGAAATTCAGCGTATTTTCTTTTCTTGTTCGATAAACTTAGCTTATTTGGTTAGTGTAACGTGAGTTAGCACATGAATCAGACACCTCGACGGCATTGACAATTTGATGGAATATTTTCGCTACCCCAGTTATACGCTTTGAGATGTTGTCTTGAAATTGTGGTTTTAGTCATGCCTCGAGGTTGATGACGCTTAGCACTAGAAGCCTTTCGTGATGCCTACGAAATCTTCGCATTGACACTTCTAAAGAGCCAAGGGTGCTGAATCTCTAATTGACTACTTTTGCACTTTACGATACAACGAATTAGCAAAGTTAACAAAATAGGCAGTCGTGGGAACCGTGGTGCATGTAAACCAGATTATGTGAACTTACACAACATTCATATTTACCTTTAGATTTTTTGGCAGCGGTGCGGCGTGTCTGTCAGAAGGTGGGCCTTAGTAAAGTATTTCATATCTCTAAACAGGTGCTTCACGTTTAAAGTTTAATATTGAAGCAGTTGTGTCGACCAATTGCTTTCGTCGTGGTTCATCGAAATGGTTGCAAAAAAATTGTGAAACCTTGTTTTGAGAATGTCGCCTGTGCTGAAAATTGGGCTTTCTGAATGTAAAATTTACCAAATTATACTCAAACCTATTCAATTTTACCCATTATTCGATTACCTTTTAGTAGCGGTTACAGTGGGCAGAACTGTAAGTTAATGTGTGTTTTAGGGACGTAAATCATGTTGGGGAATCTGTTTGCAGGGCATTTAACATGATAAGCCAATCCGTGTGCTAACAGGAATGCCTGAAATCAGCGCCCATGGCCAATTCTGTTATAAATCTATCGTCGAATTAAAATGCCTCACTTATTCTCAGAAGCCCACTCCAACGTCTCCACAACGTGGTGCTGCCGTTGGGAAAACCTGAAATTTGGGGAATGCTCGATCTAGGCAACCAAAATCAGCAATTCCTGATTAGCATCTTGGGGTCTTAACACGGGCTTCGCGTAGAGGACCTGTTCTTCATTAGCACCTCAGATTCTGTTATTCTAACTTACCTCTCATGAATCGGTGATACTGGAAGCTTCTTTGAAACGTGCCATCGGAAACATAAGCTACCATGAGTTTAAGACGGAAGTCTTGGGTAGACGTGCTGCTCGCCACACCCAAGCTTCTAAACTGCTCAGTGACGTTAGAAAATTGGCATTTTACCGGCATAGGTTTCGACTGATCCTAGGTTATCACGACCTTGACAGTGGCGACAATGAACCAATCGAGATTATTTCAGTCGCGTAATTGTGAATTTATTTTCTTTGAAAAGTCTATCTTTTTATTTATAAGCCCACCCAATTGTCTGACTGGGTTGAAATTTGAAACCGGTTTTATCTTAATTCCTTTAATTGTGACAACTTCAACTCACTTAAAAGACATTACTGATTTGAGGCAAACCAGCGCTGATAATTCCCGCTGAACGTCCGGTGACCTAGCGAATCGACTTACCCCTATCTCATTAAGCCTTTCTCTGTACCTTCTCAGTCGAATCGAGTTCTGAGTTGTTCTCTGATATTGTTCAAGTTTCTATCAACAGGTTAAATAAATTGTTCCAATTTTAATTCAACTTATAAGTTACTAGAAACGGATGGACATTCAATGATGTATCAGGATTTGATAGCTAATTTTCTAAATTACTGTTTCACAATATCCATTATTAACAGTAGATTTACAGCGTCTCAAGTTATCAAGGCGGGATGTACTAACGCCTCTAAAACAACAATTAAATTACCTAAAGTGCATTTTTAGATCGTCACTCTTCAGCCACCGGGCGCAACAACCATCGAGGCCACTGACCAATGGGGATGGAGACGAAGACAGAGCAGGTTTTCCAGGCTGGGGAGGCGCGAATTCCACTCGCTCACCAAGGCGTAGACGTAATCGACGTCTGCGTAAATAGGCTTCCATCAAGCGTGCCTACGCATGCCGGCACGTCCGGCTATAAAAGCCCAGCGGACTATCGTGCATTGTGTTTTGTCTTATCGCAGGTTCGTAAGTTTGTCATCCCGTTTCCTAATTTAATCGCTAATTTCGTGTATTCGCATGTCCTTTCGTCACAAACAATTGATCTTTCTAATATTTGTCGAAATGAATGATCCGTTTTTAATAGCACCGGTAAAAGTAAGCTGGCATTTCGCCAAGGAAATGCAGCTTAGAAATCCTACATTTATGCCTTTATATTCTCTACGCGCTTGCACTAGAGCATACATTTAAAACTTGAAGTCATCGCGACCGACATCATTTTAGCAACTTCGTTGCTCTCCTAAATTGATTAAAACTTTCCGGACTCATCAGACACCTACCCACAGACACGAGCTCGGTTATATAATAAAACAGTTTATTTCAGAATTCGTGACCTGTCAATAGAGCCGGTGATTACTTCTGAAATGAAAACACACAACACATCGGAATGTCCGAGAGTGGTGCCAGTATTCAGGGTATTACTTGCTAAAACCCGTGGATGAGGCATATATGGCAGCCATTGATTCACCAGACACTTGCATGCACAATTATACCCTTGACAAATCTCGAAATTAACAGAGAGACCACGAGACAACCTGGCGCAGCAGCAACTTTTGATGGAAGCTTTTGAAGTGTTAGACTGGCATCAATTTAGAAAACTCTTGCCAACAGTTGCGGTTAGTGTGGTAGAGTGTATCCAGCTACAAGGGTGGTTTAAAGGTCTGAAGTTGTCCCGGCAAATAGAAAACGTACGTCAAAGCACGGCAACTGCTATCATTAAAGACAAAATAAATTTATCCAAAATGTGACTTCGATAACGCGTGGCAATCACAAGTCCAGCCTTGGAGCACGTGTACATGGGGGAAAACCTGTCTCATGACTCATTAGAGGAGAGGGGACGCAGAGGGGTCTTGAAGAGTCATGGCAGAAGAAGGAAGAAGAAACAAGCAGGCAAATGTTGCACGTCATCGTTCTGAAGCTTACGTAGCGCGGGGGGCCAAGTGCGGCCGGCAGCCTTCCACGCGCGCACATGCACGCGTGCACGGCGCGCGTCACTCTGTGGCCTGTCTGTCTATCGATCTCCTTCGTGTGGCTGTGTGTGAGACTAGCGATAGCCTGACACACACACACGCGCGTGCGCGTCGCATACGTAGCCGGTGTCTCTGCTGACGTATTTATGGCGTGCACGCGCGCGCACGTATGTTTAGATGAGCGCGCGGGTGAACACACGACGGCTCCGGCACAACTAGCGTGTCACTATTCTGTGGCTGCTGCTATAAAAGGGCTGGGTCCAGCCTTGAGTAGGCATTGTTAGCTTTTTTCACACCCTTTTTTACATCCAACGTCGGTCGGGACGGAGTGAATACACACCAACCCACTTACCAACTTGGGGCCTACTATCTCTTCACTACCATCATGTCTACTACACTAGTCAATCATCGACAAGTTGTCCATCGACCTTTTCGCAATGTCATTCAGAGCTATTCGGGCCAAACTGGGACCAGTGGATCGCTGATGAGCAGACCTAGTTCTTTTGATCGTCCCTCAAGCGGTATACTAACCTCATCGGCGCCCACTGCCGTTGTGCAGCGTGACGAGGCCCTTCTTGCTATCTACGTGCACCCTTCCGAGGCGGGAGGAGTTGGCCACTACAAACCATTCCTGTTGCCTCCACGTAACCCCGGAGAGGGCTCTCAATCCTCCTTGGAGAAGGGGCTTGGTTATGGCGCGTTCGGTGTTGTCTGGTAAGTAGTCGAATAATTTTTTTGTTTCAAATTTAACATCTCTTCGCGTGCCTATGGGTTTTAATGGTTAATTTCATGTGCTGTAAATTATATTTTAATCACCAAAATTGGGTCCTTACTTACTTGGTGTCAGAAAGAACATTTAGATAGGGTGTCGTCATAAACAGATGATTTCGTTAAATTTGTGGATATCCTAAATCAGAGGAATCTGAGAAGTATTCGCAATCCCAAAAGCTTTTATTGAGGTTGTCAATTTTTAACGTGATCTGGAAATAGTACAATTCGAATGGCAGATGCCAGGTCGCGCACTGACCGGTGAAGATTGATTCGCCTACCAGCCACAATACGCCCTTTATGTCCAAGGTCGACTCTAAATCCGACTACTGACAACCTTCGTTGAAATTTAGGGTCGTCGTTCGCTGTGGTAGCGAATAGTTGGTACTAAATGCAGCTGGTCGTGGTTTATCGAACAGAAATCTGGCTTTATTGCCTTAAAGATCTCGAGGTCAGTTGTTTGTCTTGGTATTTTTCGATACGCGTGTCGGCTCGTACTTTTGTTACCTGTAATCTCGACCTTGGTTTAAGCAGTGCTAGTAGACTATAACCTGATCGCTTTGGCGATTATTTCCTGAGTACTCATGCGCTTAGTTATTGTCTTCTGCTGAGCTCTCACAAATTAGCTCCGGTATACCTCTCGTGTGGGTTTTCCCAAGGGCATGGGTGTACTACTAGGTTCCGTGGTTCATCGATCATAGTTTCCTGTTTTTATTCACATACGACACAGGAACACACATACACACATTTATCTGCGCTAAGAAAGTACTTTTCCATAAGTGGACTTTGGCATCCTTGTTACTGTGGCGCCTTTTCGAAAACAAACCACATCCGTACAGCAGAACTAAGCGCCTCAGGTGTCATTTCTCTACTAATTGATGCTCCTTTTAATTAGCGTAGTCCGTCGGCATCATTTGTTTGGCGTATTTTGCGAGATAATGCTCCTGAGGGCTGTAACACGGTATAGTCTCACACATGGTTGAGCACGTTTGCATAACGGAAGCCCAAGCTTCTGTTCTGATACACATTGTTAGATTTCGTGTTTCTCTTCAGGTCAGTTATTGATCCGCGTGACGGACGAAAGGTGGCTCTGAAACGCATCCCCAGAGTCTTCCACAACCCGATCACAGCCAAGCGCGTTTACAGAGAACTCAAAATGCTCTCCATGCTCCACCATGATAACGTGAGTTCTTTTTCACTCTTGGCATTGGTTGTCTTTAAAGTGAGAGTTTCCTTAGGCGACTTGATTTTCTTCTAGATTGTCACCTTGGTCGACGTTGTCAAGTCAGACAACTACTCTTCCTTCGATGAAGTGTATCCTTTTCCTACCCTTGACGATTTCAATTCTTACATCTGTACTGCAAATTTTTCGAACATGGTGGTGTTAGCTTTCTTGCAATCTAGAATAACCTATCTTCTCTTCATAATTTACACGTATCTGGTCTACAGACAGCATACGCAATTCGTGAAATTTCTCTGTCTCTATTGGGTTAAGTTGATGGTATTAGTGGGTTTTTCAGCCTCATCACCACTGACCTTTGTGGTGTACTTTACTCGGGTTGCAACTGGATTGTATTGTTTAGTGGGAATGCACGTGGTCCCACGGCGTGCACTAAACATGGCCATCCAAAATTGGCTGGAGGTGGAGACCATTTTCATGTTCTGGTCACGTTATCATTAAAAATGTCCTGTATTACCTCCTTAACCCATACTCGATCAAAACAGATACCTCTTGTTCGAGTTGATGCAGACCGATCTCCACAAGATAATCGTTTCTCCCCAACCACTCTCATCAGACCACGTGAAAATATTCCTCTATCAAATTCTGCGGGGTCTGAGGTATTTGCACTCTGCCGGCATCGTCCACCGTGACATCAAGCCCGGGAATATGCTTGTCAACTCGAACTGCCTCTTGAAGGTGAGTAGTTATACAGCAGTGTTTAATGATATTCGTCATTGTTTAAGGATTAATAAGCTAGTGTGTGGTCGAATTTTCTCGTCCTCGCAAAGTTCTTTCCTCAAGTGGTTTTTAAGGGAAGACCTTGGGCCAATAATTTTTTTTAAATGTCAGTTGCTGCACTGTTGCCATTTCGCAGCCTATGTTAGCTTGCCGTCACCCTCTTTGTGCTGCTTACCTGAGTTGTGGGTTTGTATTGAACACCATATTTCCATGCAGATTTGCGATTTTGGTCTGGCTCGTATGGATGATCCAGGGAACCAGGCTCAGTTGACTACCGAGGTCGTTACCCAGTATTACCGTTCACCCGAACTCCTCATGGAGACCTCGCGTTATTCCTACGCTGTGGACATGTGGAGTGTTGGATGCACATTTGCCGAACTTCTCAGCCGAAGAATCCTCTTCCCCGTACGTTTACCATTTCTGCATTTTGCGTCGAATTCACTTTTTCCTAAGTCTAGCTCATTAACTGATCGGCTCATTTTTCGTGCGCGGAGGTCACGTGTCTGAGTAAGCCCTCCTACATGTTACCAAGGCAACACCACGCCTGTTGCCGTTCTGTTAATAAATCACCCAGACCCGCAAATTGTGCACTATCTCACAAGTGTGCACCGTCAAGCCACGCTATGACGTCGTCCAAGCTTTTCTTTGAATTGACCGAATGCGTTTGAAGTTTTACGTAACTCCCTATAAACAGTCCATCTGAGCCGGAATCAACAAACTCAATATTACTGTTTAGTCAATTTGTTTATATTAAACTATCACCCGCGTTATAGGCCCAAGGACCTCTGGAGCAGTTGGAACTCATTCTTAACTTGACTGGTACCCCGAAAATGGTGGACTTGGAGCACTGTCACCCTGAGGCGTGTTGTTTCGTCCTCTCATTTCGTCCTCGCCGGCCCAACCTCGCATCTCTGTATTCCCTGTCCCCAGACCTAAGCAATGCTGCTGTGGACCTTCTATCGAGCATGCTGCGATTCAGTCCGGTACGTGCATTGAAGACGCCAGCATTTAATTTACACGTCTTTGTTCACGCCCCTTCCCAGGCTTCCTTGCTTCAACTTAGTCAGCGGTCGGTGGGGCGGCCTGCTGCTGCCGCGCCTCCCCCCTCCCCCCCGCCGGCCGCGATGCCTCGTAGACTGTCCTATAAGTTGGGTAGAAGGACAGGCGTGAGTTGGCGCGTGCACACGTTCGAGGCGTGCGTGTGGACACGCTGAGTCAGCTGTGCGTGTGTTTTGCGCCTGTCTGTCCACGCTCCCCAGTGTGTTTGCACGCGCGCATGTCGCACGCTTGCCGGTGCCCTGGGCTAATGCGTGTGTGACCTTACTTTTGGACGCCTGGAGAGATGAACAAGTGCGTTTTGCAGCGACCTTGTCGCAACCGTCACGTACTGAAGGATGCTGCTAATTTTAGTAGGCGTTTCGTTCAGCGCCGACAACAGAATGCGGCTCAATTCGACAATCGTCACAATAATGTATTGCACTTTAGTATTTTGCCGCTACGCTTTATCACCGGCACATCCGAACTAATCTCCAATGTTGACAGAAATCGAAATCGGAATGAATTATAGTTACCGAAAAGCATGTTTGTCGTCCACACGAATACCGTACCGATTGCCAACCTGATGTAGCCTATTTGAACGCAGACGCAGTCTAGTTTTTTATCGGAAAGTTCAAATCGCGTTACAGCTTGTTGGGGGTTTCGTAATCCCAAATACTTTCCCTGCAATTTTTTGTGCCGGAGTGGCAAGACATAGCAAATGGCGATTCCTGTGGAGAAACGAAACACGCCCAGTTTATGTTTGCGCGTTTGCGTCTTTGGATAGGGGCGTTATCTCCAAGCCCACAAATGTGTGAATAGCGGCCTTTGTCGCCGGTTCTTATCGCGGCAATACTAAATAAGGTTTTTTGTATTACTAAGCAGTAACGCTTAACTTTGCACACCTTTTTATTGAATTTTAATGGCATGATTGTAGCCAAAATGCATCGCTTGTAAAGGTTTAGTTTCAATTCCACATAAGATCACTTCATTGTCAGCGCACAAGGGGTTAAGACCAACGTCCTAGGCAAACCACCTTTTCACGGCTTACCCTCTAGTTTGAAGTAGTTTTCACGAGAAGGGTGAGTCTTGGTGTGCATGTGATCCAAAAAAATGTCAAGTATTCCAGTACCGTCGACTCCTCACATAGAATATCGTGTTTTTTAACTGGCTCACAATTCTTATCATTCACTTATGAGGAGTTAGTTTTGTTACACTTGAGACAAGCAAGACATGCCTGGAAGAGAGGTATCGTTTTGTGAATTCATAGTTTTGGTTCTTGAACAAAACCTCGTTTTTCTCTCCAGCGTGCTTATTGTCTTCATGAGTTGGTCTCATTCCGTATTTCTTTTAGATATTCTGATGAGCTGGCCTGGAAACAAATCTTAAAGAATTTAGCGTGTCACGGTTTCTGAGTTAGAAAACTTAGGAGCCTAAACAAAGACGGAAGTAGAGACCTTTGTTTCACTAAAATCATTCTCGTGGTGCGCTGTTTCATTGGCATCAAGCCTGTGCAAGGTTTTCGACTAGTAAACACGAAATCGCTACCAGTAATTGAGGCACATTTGATTTGTGTGCGTCTTTGCAAAGCCACCGACCACAATTCCCACAACGCAAGCATTAAAGGTTTGTTAAAACACGAACTTTAAGTGACAAACTGCTTCAAGTATTCTGTGTGCATGTTTTACTAGCAACTGTATTGAAGTCAGGTTTATGGAATGCGAAGTATTTACCTAGTCTGATGGTAGTCAAAACACTTTTTTCCCATCAACTGGTCATCAGGTTTTGTCAAATACCGATTTATAAATTTACTTGCATCAAATTATTTCGAAATAATACACAGCCAACTAAAAGAAATTATTGGTTTTGCCTACAGAAGGACCGAATTACAGCAGAGGAGGCGTTGAGCCATTGTTACCTCGAGGAGGCGCGCCTTCGGTACCACTCGTGCATGTGCACCTGTTGCCACGACGTGCCAGTTGCCTCGCCCCCCGCCACCCAAGGGGGTCTGAGCAGTCCCGGTGCTGTGGGCGACAACGCCTCGCTCTCGTCTGCCCCGACAACCCCCACCAGTTCGATTTCGTCCTCCTCCTCCTCCATCTCTCCCTCCGACACACCCGGCAAGCAGCAGCAACACCCGGGGAATTTAACACGAAGGAAATTCTGCCGGGATCTTGACCCTGCAGCCAACTTCCTACTTCCTCTCGACCTTGACTCGCACTTCAAACGGCTATCTGACGCTAAGCGTGAGTTTTACCCCCTCTTTCACCTGATTCGATCAATGCAAATACATCCAATTTTACATAAATTGACTAGCAAAATGTTATCGTTGCAGCGATAGTGCATGTGCTGGTCATCACCATTCCGCGTGTTCCTATGCTAAATTTGGCTTCGATGAGAGATTCTCATCCGCTCCGCATTAACTAATTTCGCCAATCATAAGCTATAAGTCGGTTTCACGCTTCCTGATTTTAAGACCGCCTTGCTTTCCTCTGCCTTGGTCATTTTGTAATTCCTCAGTTTAAGACAAGTTAGCCACTAACACTGGTTACCTATGTCTCCGTCGTTACCACAGATTCCTCTACCAATGCATGTTTTGGTAGTAGTGGTTAATACACAAGGCGGAGCCCTGATCATTCATTGAATTCTGCCAAAGCTACGGAAAGGCGTTATCGGAAGCCACTACTAGAGCATAGTCACCCTAGTTACATAATGCTGTTGTTAAGGCGGTTTGATGCAAACCCTTGCAGTCGAGAGAAGGCAGTCCAGAATGCTCCTCTTGGATATGTTTTCATTTGTCCACTATGTGTACACACCCACACACACGGACTACGGACCATGCCCCTTGGCGTTGCTAACCGCCCCACAGGCCCAAACCTACCGAAGTGCGTGATTCACATCGCGGCTATCTCCCCGCTGCCCCTACCAGCTGGTTAGCCAGGGTAATTAGCAGAGGAAAGTGGAAATAAAAATACCTGGATTTTAGCCTCTTGCATTTACATTTGTGTCCTTAGTCGAAAAAACGGCAATTTTTTAATCAAAAATAGACATTGTGAGACAGCAAGGTTAGTAGTTGCGATGACTTTAATCCTGCTCTAAGCAAGTATTGGTCCATATTTCCGCTAATACAAAGCCTTACGCCTCACCACGAGCGTAAATGTAGATAGAGGCCCCCGGATACTTGTCGCGACTCCAAGGAATTGCCTGGTTAAGAAACGGGTTCCCTTGAACCAAGGGCGTTTATGGACCAATTTGTTTCCAAAACCCCTGAAATGGTAGTTGAGGTTATGCACGTTTCCCCCTTTATAGGCATCCTGTGGGAAACCCTGCAGGAGTACCACCACCGGGACACGCGGAGTGCGAGACTCATCCTTAACAAAAACGCAGTCAACTACCGAGCGCTTGTCACGTAAGTTTAATTCTCTAAGGCCAGCTAATTGCATCAACCCTTGCACACACACCATACATCGATGGTGCTAGCTGCAGGAAACTCTCATGTAAAGAAATCACGACAAGGAACTGTTTCCACTCCCGCCGGAGTTAATATCCACGCGTGTTTACTGTCTCAACTAGTGTCCAACTGAAGCTCTCGTGCCTGAGGTTGCAGCAGTCTGGTGTCTGACCTCTTGCCCTCGGGATGTAAATAAACGAGCTTATGGAAAAGAGCCGCCCCACTGTCATGACGTTTATTTATTACAGCGTCGTGGTATGAACCCCACTCACAGCAATGCGGGCCTATTCACTCAGTCTCCGTTGCTTTTTTTCAGGTCAAGCGTGGCACAAGCTAAAGAAATGCCGCCAGCACGCCGGTGGCGTTGAGATGAATCGACCGGTTGAATCCAGCCACTTCATCTCCATACTTTTATCACTGCTTGTATCATACTCTCCATACACACGTACCCGACGCATCCTGAGTGGAAACGCACTTGTTTGTCTACAAGCACCCACCCCACAACTTCCTCCTCCCCGACTCCAATAGCAATATTCATTTTGTACGCGTTCTTTCAATAGCAGCAATACCAGCATAATGGCTGACTTTGACTAGTTTCTTCACTGTTTGTTTTTTTCCTTTTTTTCGGCCTTTTATTTGTCCGTGTATTTAACGAGCCCCCTACTTCAGCATAGGTGCGTGTGTCAAACGTCGTAGGTGGACCTTTCAAGGGAGCATCGGAGTCTGCTGGCCCTCAGGCCTCTTAGTGATATATATTTTTTCATATGCATATTTATTTCGATGGTTAGGCGCGCTTTCCCATCGTCACTGTACAAAGGCTTTGTCATCTGTCTTCTCGCCCACACTAGGCCTACTATCACTAGTGTTTTAACCTATTTCGTGCATTTAACTTGGCTCCGCTCTTTGTAATTTCTTCACCACCACCCCACTATCCTTCGCCATCCGTGTGCGTCGTCCACCACCGCCCGCCAAAACACCCGACCTGTTTCATTCTCACACAAACTTATTGTAAATGGCACAAACTTCTCATTTTGCGTACTGTACTTACGTAAATATCAAAAATACATACATATTTACACCTAGAGGCAGTGCTTCATTTTGATTATTGGGCTGTCATGATTGGTCAGATTATGTGAGTTAAAAATACGCGCACGTTGGCTTAGCCAATTACGTGTGGCTGTGCGTGGAAGCGTAGTGGGCATGGGTTTTAAAACTCCGTGGCGAGATTAGTGCAGGTAAGGTAAGTGGGAAACCACTGGAAATGCGTTAGTAGGTTTATTCCGACAGCAGTTTTTGAAGGGAATTGGAGGGTAATCGAAAACAGGCGATCAGGTCTTACCCAGGTTCAAGGTTACAGGAGGAGAGGAATCAAATATTTAGGACGGACTCAAAAGGACATTGGTAAAGAGAGTTTCTAATCAAAATCACAAGGTACATAGCATCTGAAGTAGACAACGTAGCTCCGTTTCTTCCGTAGTTGTCAGTGCACCGTTCTCGTGTAGGTGTCGCTGACTGGTGAAATGCAGACCCTACTGACGTGACGGTGACGGTCAGGACGTAGAAGCCGAAGAAATTATTTCGCGTGGAGATGGAATGATCGAAAATTCATTATTTTAAATGGCTTGCTCAAAGGGCCAGTTGCGCAGTGGAATCAGTATACTCTTTTCTATGTTTGGGGTCTTATCTAGTTCACCAATCACCTTAGTGATGCAAAATCATCTACCATTTGCGAAGGATATCGCGGGATTTCTCCTAACTGGCTTGTAAGTCTTTGAGGCTGCAGCCTTGGAAACCTTTATTTAAAGTATTGTATATTCTCTTATCTTTTCAGAGCAATTCACTTTAGAACGGGATATATTAACAAAATCGGCACAAACGGTGACTGGATTTTCAGATGCTCGAAGCCGAAACCCAAGGCCACGCTAGATCAAGTACGCCGCCAGTCTCCATGGTACCAAACGCTATTAAAAATGGTTGTCCTACCAGCATATGCATCTGGCGACCTCAGACGGTAGCCAGTATAATCAGGTCAATTCAGGTTAAATACTCTCTTCAGCTGTGCGCCGTTGAAGCTTACTATTTGGAAAGCTGGATTCAACAAGGTGAAACAGGGTTTCCATATGTATTTTGGATCAACAGAAATCAATTGGAATGGTTTTACTATTGTTCTGCTCGAAAAACCCACACCATCAGCTCATTATGGGTAAATCATGATGCAACTCTCAAGAAATAGAGCCTCATGAATAATTTTAAGTTTGGCTTAAGAATACTACGTAAGTTTGATGAGAAAACGGGATGTTGGGAAGAAATGTAACAAGGGAATTTTTATGAATGGTTAGACGTGAACTTTCTCTTGAAAACACTGAACAGTATGAGTCCTGAAATAAAGAACAAATAAGAGTCTAGATTCAAGCTAAAGCCGGTTATGTAGCTCACACGTAAACCCTCGGTTCCCGTTTAACTGTACTTTTCGTAATATTTCATTCGCAACACTAGGCGAACTGTGGCTTTTAAATTAGCGACTGCACTGTCCGAATGGCGCCTAAACATCGAGGTGAACACGGACATTAGTTTTACTTTGTTGGCATCGTTTCAGCCATTTAAAGACGAGGTTCAACCCGACCGCGGCTTACAGCCAGACTGCTTAGATGCACATCGTCTGGCGCGCACCAAGAGACCAAGCAATTAGGACAAGTCCTGGTTCACCCATTTAGTTTATTTCCTAAGCAGAGGCTCTAACTGGATAGCTTACGAACGTACCACCACGAATTTGTCAGTACATCACCATGTAGCGCAAAGTAATTAGATATTGAGGTGATTCATGCAGCGGGAACACTTAGGTTTAATGTTTTATTTTGATTTGTTGTGGGCCCCGGCATGTGGTCTCCAACCACGCCGAGGCCACTGAGTTGAATCTAGCCCGATAACGCTACCCTGCTAAACGCGATGATAAAGAAGGCCAGAGAGGACGTAGACGCAATCATTTACTTCAGAACTCGACCAAGTTGATGTCGTTGTGTCGTGCGTGGCGTTTGCGCGTGTATGTCTATAGCTCAGATGTGTGAAACAGTGTGATCCATAAATTTGCTAATATCAAGACCTAGGTACGTTACCACGTGTGGTCATAATCCCGGATAATCGTTCGGGCCAATGAGGTGTGAGTTAATATTCCACTCGGAGCGACTGCATTGACGAGTGTGAATCAAGATAAGTCGTGCACCTGTGTGTCGAACAAGTGATTCATATTGTAGAAGGGGAGCCGATGTTTACAATGAATTAGTACAGTTCCCAGGGAGTACGACGTGAATATAGTACATTCTTAAGCCTAACTTTCCTTTATGAAGACGTGAGTGAAGCCGACTGCGCCTAGATTTGAAAAGGTGTCTAAACCACGGAGAATCGTGAGTGGGTTTGCTTTGCTAAATCCAATTAAGGGATCTATAGCCTTTGAATACCAGCATCATGAAGTACAGTTGGCACTGAAAGTTTTTCTACCATCCGTAATGGCCGAATTTTGACCGCCGTGGCGTCTTTAAAGGAATCCACAAACCAAACTAACAAGGGGCGTAATTGGCGCAAAACGCTGTCTGGCAAATAAAACAAGATGTGCCAGGAACTAGCTAGTATCAGTATCAACCTAGTGTGATTTGTGAGCTGGTTGTTAGCTTAGATTAAAGTACATCACACAATGCAATAGCCAGATAGCACGTAGCTGTTTTATTAAACAGTGAACTTCCAACATAGAAATAATGAGTATTTGAGGAAAGTTAAGTTTCTCTTTAGCTAACTACCCGCTTTAAAGACTTCCCGTATTGAAGTTCTGTGCTTATGACCGGATAATTTGGTTTTGGTTCCGAACTTTGCTCAACACGTTGATCTGCTGGTCTTCACACAAGTTGCATTTAGAATAGACGATGGTAATTTATTCTGCACGATCAAATGCGTCACCATTGCTACGTGGCCTTCGAAATGAACCGGCATGAAAACACTTGCATGCGTAAATAAGTGGTCACGATGTGGAGGGCAAATCGAAGTTAACAACAAGATTTCATAATGGTGCAACAAAGATACTTAAATAATTCAAGTACTACGGCCTTCGGAGCATATTCCATGAGATGACATTGACTTGAGAAAGTAATAAAATCATGCACATCACGGCCCAAGCGTTTTTGCTTGCCTCGTATCGGCATAGTATCATCACCTGCTCTCCAAAAAGTACATTTGTCAAAATGATCATTGAGACCGATAATGAATTAGAAATGGGCTTAAATAAAAAAAAAACAAACTGCCTAAACAGTCGCCATTTTGCCTCCCAAATCCAAACCCATCTCATCAACCCCGCAACTCTAGTCCCGCATTGGTCTTAGCATTTTTAGTGGGTTCTAGCCTCTAACAGAACATCTACCTGGGTTATGGTTTTTAATATTCAAACCGTGTAACTCGAAGTTAGCGGCGTAGTGCCTGCTTTCCGGGTTTAGTTATATACGCATTCAACAAAACGTTGCACGACAAAACCCTAATTAGGAGTATAAAATTTGAGCAAGTAGTGTAAGTGCAGAGTTTTTTGTCAATGCCACACGCCTTTAACCTTGTCGCACACCACTGGGCGATCCGTGCGAGGGTACTTTTAAGAGAGGCCCGATGACTAATGGGGCAGTGGCTACACTCACTCTAACTTGAGTCACTTGAAGCATCCTTGCGACGTAATAATTTTCACTAGCTGTCAAGTAGTAAAGAACGGATCTCTGACAAGAAATGGCGAAACTCAAATATGCAATAGTAATAAATGGACATTTCAATGACGGATATTCATTCTGTATTTTCACAAACAGGATCTGAAATGTCTGCGTGGTTTGTCAAGACTTACATTGGATAAAGAAGACAAGGGCTACGCTATTGTCATTCGGGTTCCGTAAAGTCAAATAGGATCCCCAGTATGGGAACGAAAATTGCTTTAATGTA